CCGAAGAATACCGAATATTTCTGCCACAATACATACGACAGTAGTTCTATAGTTCATGGTTTTAAAAATCGACTAGCGGTTTATGGAATAAAGAATGACCTGGAACTCTTGACCCCGGAAAATCAAAGGTATTCAATTGATCAATGAAATCCGCGAGAATTTATATTGAACAAGATAGATGGAAGCTTGTCATAGAAGCTTAGTTTTGCTTAGTCACGTGAAATCTTAATTCCTCCGTGTAGTATATGTTCAACCACGTTCAACGTAGGCAGCGGATTGGCTGTTCCTCCAGCATTGATGATGACCATGAGCGACAATTACAGCTCCCCATTAGATAGGACGTATGGTCGTTTACCAATAAAAGCTCTCGCAAGCTAGGCTTGAGCGTCAATGAACTAGCTGAAGAAAGCTTGAAGACAAGACGTAAGTATCAAATCGTACAGCAACTGATGTTGGTAATTAAAGGATAATAATGGTATGCTTACCGGTGGTAGCACCTCTTGTGAGTCCGCGCGGGTAGGTACCACCATCCTGCCTATTTCTGCCGTGAAACAGTAATGCTATTCGGTTTGAAGGGTGGGACAGCCGTTGTAACTATACTGAGATCATAGAAGTTATATCTCAAGGTGGGTGGCGCATTTACGTTGTAGATGTCTATGGGCTCAAGTAACCACTTAACACCAGATGGGCTGTGAGCTTCGTCCACACATCAAAGCAATGAAAAAAAAAGCTCGTTAACGAATTTCACTTATCTAGACTACACGCTCTTGTTAGTTCCACTGCACATTCAGCTAGAATAGTTAGTTTTGAATTTGCCAGCTATTGTCAGCGCTTTAAAGAAAGTTTCTGGCTCTCATTAATGAACGATAAGCGTCGAGCCAGTTAGAGTGAAGCATTGTAGAATTCAAAACTAATTCACCATAGTAATAAAAGCTACTTAATTTACAAAAAAATAAATAAATAATAGTTTAAAAAAACTAATAAAATACGCTTTTATAGGAAATCCAACTAAAAATAGAAAAATATAATTTTAATAAATTTGAATTAAAAATAGTGTAAGAAAAAATGATTTTATTGTAAAAAAGCGTGGGGTGCATGGTTTAAGTAGTTATAAATATTTTATGAACATATATGAGTAGAAGAATTAATTTGATAATATCCTGAAAAGCACCCCACGCTTTTTTACAATAAAATATTTTTTTCTTACACTATTTTTAATTCAAATTTATTTTCTATTATTTAGTTAGATTTCAATTTATTCAATTTTTTTTTAAATAGGGAATTGTCATCGGTCCTTAATAAGTATACCAAATTTCGAGTTAATCCGACGTTTTGAAGGGGGTCAAAATCGTGTTCAAAGATTCCGTTACAAACATACATACATACGTCTGAAGCTAATAAAAACGTATTAAAAAGTTGAAATTCATAGGCCTATCATGCTTTGGTATTAATATAAATATATCATGAAAATTTAATGACACAGAGAACTATTACAAAAACATCAATCAGATGTGAAGTGAAAAACGGTTACAGAAATAACTTAAAGAAATCTAAATATTACAGCACTTCTAATATAAAAATACAATCTACGATCAAGAGGCTACATACCTACACACTACGAAATTCAGAGGAAAAATAGGTAAAAAAAGACAGATTATAATAAATGCTTTACATGACTACTATCATCAATATAGGTAGTTTGTTTTACATGTTCTTTGACTACAGAGGAAAATAATAGGGGATTTTTATTAACAAAACATGTAACATTAGTGCTACATCTAAAGCCTCGTGAAAATTTCGTTATCAAATGACATTAAAATTAATACACGGTACAATGATTTCCGACAGTTTTTTTTATGATAGCAATATTTACTCAGGAATGCTGCAGAGAAAATTATCAAAAACCTAAATTCATTTTAATCATTAACTACTTCAGAAGTTAGTTCACAAATGATTAATGATTCGTACGCTGAGAACGCCAGAGTGTTCTATTTTAAAACGAGATCCGTTCCTATTGGTTGATTTTTTATTTCAAAATGGCAGCCGATTTTTGAAGATAATTAATGAAGGCATTCTCAAGTGGATAAGGTGAAACTCAATGAGTATATACGAGTAAGTGCGACTATTTGCTACCGTATCTTTGAAGTATCAAATTTTTCAAAGACTAAATACATTTTGTTTGGTTTCTGAATAATTGTTGATAATTTAGTGGAATGAGTTATTGTAAGTATGAAATTAATTGTAAGTGCTATTAGCGTCGAAGAGGTAATAAATTACTTAGATAACACGCAACATATAATTAAACAAATTAGCGAGATCATTACGAAAAAAGCTACTGTATAATTTAAATTGTCGTGTTTATAAGTGAATCAAATGACTCATATTTATCATCGCAAACATATAATTTATCGGTTTATTTTTTTATTATTAACAAAAAAATTGTATTGAACTATCATTGTGACATCACAATAATGCGGGCTTATACTGATAATTATTGAGAAAAATTTGATATTAAATTTTGACTGAAATTTGTGGGTATTTCGATAATATCTAAAGTAAGTGTAGTTTGTCTCGGCGTCGTTAGTATCGAAGTAGAGTTTGAAATTAATTAACAAGTTAGCCGAAGTTGACTGGTCTCTCTCATAGCGGACCGAAAATTGACAAATCTTATCTAGCTTCTTTGGATAAGGGTTACGACACGGGTTCGGCTCGTTCAGGCTTCTAGTTAAGTGGTTTTAGTATAAACCATACTGGGGTTGCTATAAAAAAGTTTATTTTAATACAAAAAGAATTAGAACCCAATTCTAGGTAAGACAAAATTAAGAATTTTTTATTGAATTCTTTTAAACTACCTTCAAACTGTGACACAAGCTAAATTCATTAGTTGTTTTCAAGGTTTAAAACGATTTTCCTAGTGTAACCAATGTCAATAATAATAATACAATTGTTGGGTAAATTGTGCAATTTATATTGTGGTCGCAACGTAGCTACTTATACTTGTGTAAGATCGCTGTCTAAGCAATGACTGTATCCGTTTAAAAACGGTTAGTAGATGAAAGAGATCCGGTATCAGAATTAATGTCAATTTCGTTCTATTGATGCACAAACGTACCTACTTGTACGAAGCAAAGGACTTACAATGGTTAAGGATAAAAGCGATGGACGTGTGGCTATATGTAGTTTATGCGGGTTAAATTATTTGAAGTTTTATCTTTTATTTAATAATATTTTTCTAAACTTTTAATATTATGAATGATTCGTTAATATTTAATGTACATATTTGGTATTATTCATTATATCATTCTATTGACGTACTCATTTATTATATAATGTTTATCATCAAGTTTTAATTATTTTGTAACTTAATTATCTCAATGTTTTTTTTTGTAACAAAAATGTATGAATGACATGAATGTCTAAAATTTTCACCTTTTTTCACGTTAGAAATAAACCCATAGTCTCTTATACACAGTCACATAGTCACCACGATATTAGTAACAAAAAACATTAAGTCACATCACTTAACTTCATGCTAGTTAATAGAAATACGTTCTGTTTAAGTATAACCAGCAAAACTATCTCATTCGACAATTCATTCCCGAACTAAATCTCGAAATACGAACTTACTAGGCTTACATTCTCAAATTACAATGGAATCTCTAAATCAGCCAACTCAACCGTAAATTAGATCGCAGACAAATTCAAAAACAGTAGGAGACGGTAGCACAACTTGAAGGCTCATTGTTCGTATTCGGCGTCAGCTAAACAGAAGGTGAGCTTTTGTCCTGGGTGTTGTAAATTTTGTGAAAAGTGAAATTCCTTTTGAATGCCTCTTCGGCCCATAAATAATCCCCGAACAGTAGGAACGGTATTGTTTCTGACTCTTATTGTTTCACGTCAATGCAAAACGAGAGTGCTTCTCGTAGATTCGCAAATCAGTATGGAATACTTGCGATTTTCAGTGCGGCTACCATAAATCAATAAATAAATGCGCCATTCATAGTTTCGTGTCTGTGTAGTGAGTGGCTTATTGTAAGACAACAGATAACGAAATCCAGGCAATTGCGTGACGAAAACAGCAAAACCAGAGTTAGCGTTCGCTTGACCCGTGAACTGAACTCAAATAAATAATACATTTTATCGGCAATATCTTAATAATGTGTAATAAATAATATTGTAAATATTTTATAAGCTACGAGCCTGGAGTCGGTACCTTTGTAAAAATACATGTGTTCTGGATCTTAGCGTATTTGTTATTGTCACTAATGGGTTTCCGATACCAGGATAGGAAAATAACATAGGAGAAATATTATCAATTTCTAATTATCTTCCAATTATTTATTACTAATACATTATTATTCCATTAGGCTATTTAATGCGAACCCTTTTAAGTTCTAATCACTCATTCTTTTCCTCTCAGAATTTCCAAATTATAGTTCACAAATGGCGAAAGTAACATATTCACGACTTTCGAAAAACATTAAAACCTTAGTTGAATAAAATAAAAAAATCCATAGTATTTTTGAAGAACTATCGATGTATAGTTATTGCTTTTATTATTTTTAGGTTAGATAGTTCGACTCGTAATAAAGTTTACTTCATTTCGATACTCGATCGTACGTTCAGATATTTGTGTTGTGAGTAAATGAAAGAACAGAGCCTATCCTCCAAATGCTATTAAATTTTGTCATTAGTTTCTGTGTAAAATGCCAGTACATCATTATATACGGACAACAACTGTATGATTAGATTTTTGTTTTGTAATTAGAGCAAACCTTTATTAATATGTGACATTAAGAATTAATTAGTTATCCATGTTTTTTTTCTTCATTTTATTATTTTAATTCCTTCAGAAATTTTAACCCGGATAATTGGTAAAATAATCAGGGCTCATACCGTGAGACCGCTGAAGTGATCATGTCTGAAAGGTAGCAAGTGCATTGATGTTATAATGATAAATGCTGTATAACATTAATTACAAATATAGGTTAGGTGCTTACCAAATTGACTTCGCATCCATGGGTATAGCGGACTGGGCAGCGATGCGTTCGTATTAGGCGGGGGCTGCTGCGGAGGAGGTTGCTGTGCATGCATCGATTGTTGATGCATAGGGGGCATCTGCGTCTGATGTTGCATGTCGTCCACAGGGTACATGAGATGCTGTTGGTGTGGAGGTACTCCGTGCTGGACCATATGCTGTTGGGGGTGCATATGATGGGGCATTTGTTGTGCTTGTTCTAAGGGTGGGCTGCCGGGGACTGCTCCTCCTGTCGCGGCTGCAGCTTGAAGCTTACACGACGTGTAAACTGCGGGAGTTGCCGGTTGGTGTCCGTTAGGTCCATATCCGTCCGTTTTAGGACCCATATGCCCCATTTGAGAAGGGCTGTCCGGCCGGTATCCGTTTTGTTCCATTTGTTGATAATACCCTAGCCTGTCGTAGGGTGGAAACCTGGGGTAGGGCATTCCAGGCGCAGGTTGCGCCGGGTAGTGATGCTGTGCCGGCCTGAGCTGCTGATCGCAGCCATCCATTTCGTGCCCTTGTTGTGGCACCGCACCGTAATGCGCGTGCGCCTGTTGATGTTCGTGACCGCCTCCGTTCCTCATGTCCGGCATGTAAGCGTTAGAAAAATATGTCATACTGTCGCAATTGTTGGCGCTCATCGCGGGCCCGCAGCCCGCGCGGCTCACGTCCGTATTTTCCGTCGCAGATTTTCGGCCCCAAGGGCCGACACTACGTTATCACAATTCAGTCACAACACAAACACTTCCGAATCCATTCACTAAATGACGTTTGGTGAACTCACTGTCGATTTACGCGTTGTTGACGGACGGTGTCTCCTCATCTGATTCTCGGCCAATCTGAAAAGAAAAGGTTGATGCACTTAGTCAATCTAAAATTAAATATTTGGAAGATATCGAGAGGCGGTTCTCGTTTGATTGTATGTTTGTTTTGGCCGGCTCGTGGATTGATACGCCAGTCATCACGCGCTGAGTCGACCTGACGGTCCACGCAGACTGACACGTGTCTTAAAACTGGGACACACACGAAGATATAAACCTTATGTTGCTAGTAAAACGCCTTATAGACGACCTGTCTGCTAAACGGCCCCCATTCGTAGGAGCTAACCAAGCGCCGCATTCTTAAACACGATAAGACATTTAAAATCTGTCTTTGTCTGTCTCAAGGAAGCAGTTCCTCAAAAATGAGACAGGAGACGAAATAGTGTCAAGTCGCGACATCAACATGTGGTTGACCTGACGTCATATCCTCGACATGTCCCAGCAGTTGATGGAGCATGAATGACAGTCGTATCGCGGTCTGAAGACTAAACTTTACACTGTCGTTGATTCTCGAAAAAATAACAGAAACACAAACGTTATCGTAAGATCTTGTTTTTTAGTTTTTTAAGTTAAAAAAAATCATGATGCATTTAATCTGGCACTTACTAGAATTCAACAAGTACACCAAGTATTAGTCCAGCAAAAAAAACATGCGTAACGGTAAAAATACGAGAAGACTTTTGTCCATTAAGACAACATCTAAGTGCTACCGTAATGGCTGCGCATTTCGGTCGTCACATATTATCTTATACGTTTCCATTTACGAAGTTACAAAGTCACGTTGCAACATTTTTGATACGCTTTACTAAATTTCACGTATCCAGAGAGAGAGAAAAAAAAATGTACTGTACAGGATCCGAATGTATCTCCGCCCCGAGAACTGGCGCAGGCTATTTAAAATCCAAAAGTTCATGCTTCATTAGCGACAGTTAATGATGGCGGCTACTCTATAGACAATGTGTTCTTAGCTGTGCTTACATTGGTTTATATAATAACTTACGCCTGGGAACAATTGGGAAAAAACGAATAAGACGCATTCTATTCACTTTGTTTATGTTCTGTATATTTTTTTTAATTAAATGTTAAAACTTTCGTATGGCTCACTTTGAAACGGATTGGAAATTTCAATTTGATTAGGGCAACGGTATTGAATTTGGTAGACTTTACGTGCTTCAGTAACAAGTAGTAGGTACTGGTGTGGACTTATAATCACACTCTATCAGTACTGAATGTAAAACTAAAGGGTTTTCTTTTAGGTAAAACCGGTGAGAGTACTGCGACATTGGAAAAAGATATTTTCTATGGTCACTATAGACAGACGAGCATATAGACCTCTAAAACTGAATGGTTACCGTCACTCATGACGTTAGGCGTAACCAAGGTGCTGTCTTGTTATTAGCTTTATAAATGGTGATACTTTTTTGTATTTCACCTCCAAAAATTCTTTGGCTAATATTCTTTGGATACATTAAATCGTTACTTATTGTAAGCATAGAAGAGGAAGTGTCAAACTAGTCAAACAATTTAAAGAGCGGATGGTTAGCGTGGTATGGACATGTGATGCGTAGAGAGAAGATGCGTGAATATGGAAATGGTAGTGCAAGGTAGAGGGGAAGAACTCGACCGAAGAAGACATAAATGGAGTGTGTGAATGAGAGAGAGGAGTGGATGTTGAGCTGACGGCTGATAGTAGAGAATGGAAGAGAAAAATTTGCTGTGCCGACCCCACCTAGTGGAAAAAGGTGATGAAAAAAATAATGGAAACGGAGAGTCGCGAAAATGTACGTACAATAGAAAAGCATGGCTATTCGAAAAATTTGCATCTCGGTTGAACAATTACAATTTACGATTTCACCGCCCCAGCGGCATTGCGACCCTCGCTTTTTTTAATTTTCAATTTCCATTTGCATTCCAGTAGATGCCTACATCGAGTCCAATCACAATAGTTCCGACTCCACAATTTATTACTGTCTAGCGAACGTTTTTAATCAGGGTGAATTAGAGAGAAACATATAAAAAAATTCGTTGAAGTGAAATTATGTTACTGAATATCGGTGTCATCTGAAGGCGAAGTTAAATCCCAAGAAACATGACATTTTCATGTTAACTTTACGTACACATAATTGTACATTATCTCGTAGTTATGAATTTAATCTCACACGTAACAAGCGAATGTTCTAGCCGGCAATTACCAGGTCGAGATAAGAATCTTAAGCTCGGTTCAAGGAACATGTCTTTAAGCTGACCGACGTCGAAATTAAGTCTCACGTGCTTTTGATAATTTGATAACCGAGTACGCTGCCGCTTTGATTTACGTTTTCAAGAACGGGTTTTCTGAGTCACTCGCAGGTCGCTCTCATGGCCTCCGCTTCTAAGTATAGGCTTGTAATTAAATGCTTTTTAAAGCTCACCAGGATTTTTCAAAATGATTTAATTCGAAAGGATTTTAAGCCAGAAATGTTTCAGTGTGCGTTTTTATTAAAGTATAAAGAATTAGCAAATCTTGTCCGTGAATTAAAAATTTGTTGAAGTAACGAACAAACAATGCAATTATATAGTAACATCCAAACGAGATTCCCATTGAATTTTAGCTGATACATAAATTAAACCAAACACTTCCTATACGTCGAAACCGCTAAAAATGTACCGATGACTCGTTCGAAATTTATAATCCCACTTTTATTTCGTAATGACATAAATCAAACTAAAATACACGGCATAATAGCCTCTGGAGTTGAAATTAAAAATAATACTAATAACATTTCGCGTACGACAGTCGTTGGTACTTAATCAAATGACGATCAAAGGATGAGTATTTTTGGAAAATATCCGACGCCTAGTATTTATCATTTCGACTATTTGTCAATTAGAGAGCTATTGTGGGAACAAGAACGATTTATTTATGCTACACTGTTTTATAATGTTAGATAAGGAGAGTGACAATGTAATTTTAATGATGAAAAACGTATTTTACGCCTTTTTTTTTATTCACAGCATTAGTGTGTATCTACTTTTTATTCACAGCGTTATTAGTATGTATCTATATGATAAAGCTACCGATAAACTATCAATTACACAGAAATAATTTTCTGATAACTTTGTTTTAAATTCATTGTATTTTTATTTTATTTAGTTTTATATTTCTGGTAAAAGACAAATTTATACTCATTCTCTCGGATCGTTTGGAGCCTCTGGGTCTGCGGAGGGACTTCGGTTCCCTCTGTATTTTGTACCGTATGTTCCATGGGGAGTGCTCTGAGGAATTGGTCGAGATGATACCAGCATCTCGTTTTTACCATCGCACCGCCCGCCACCGGAGTAGAGTTCATCCATACTACCTGGAGCCACTGCGATCATCCACAGTGCGTTTCCAGAGGTCTTTTTTGCCACGTACCATCCGGCTATGGAATGAGCTCCCCTCCACGGTGTTTCCCGAGCGCTATGACATGTCCTTCTTCAAACGAGGCTTNACCAGCATCTCGTTTTTACCATCGCACCGCCCGCCACCGGAGTAGAGTTCATCCATACTACCTGGAGCCACTGCGATCATCCACAGTGCGTTTCCAGAGGTCTTTTTTGCCACGTACCATCCGGCTATGGAATGAGCTCCCCTCCACGGTGTTTCCCGAGCGCTATGACATGTCCTTCTTCAAACGAGGCTTGTGGAGAGTATTAGGCGGTAGGCAGCGGCTTGGCTCTGCCCCTGCCATTGCTGAAGTCCATGGGCGACGGTAACCACTCACCATCAGGTGGGCCGTATGCCCGTCTGCCTACAAAGGCAATAAAAAAAAAAAAAAAAAAAAATATTATACGTTATTCAAAAACTATTTAGGTATTTATACAGAATTTGATATTTTATGTTAATAATGATAATCTTATTGGAAACGATATCCATGATGAAGGAATATCATGTGTAATAAAGATAAAGTGTATCATGAGCTGGCATGGATAGATCTTCCCTATTTCTGCCGCAAAATAGTTTTGCGTTCTGTGCAATAAAATATATATTATTCAAAATAATTCAGTGCTCCATATTCACCGATATCCAGATATGACATGATGTGGCATCCATTATGACGCGGACTGCGATTAATTTACCAGCGTTCCCTCTGATCTCGTGATCATTGCATTTGTCTGTTCTCAGATTAATACGTCAGTTAGCTTGACACTATGTATGTTCCTTTTATTTTATTGTGGCTTCCAATAAGATTATCGTTCCTAATTGTAGAAATGTTAATTTGGTGGGGCGAAGGATTTGTGGTAGTAAGACCACCCATGACGTTTCATTGGCTTTTTACTTTTTTTTTTTTAAAGCTTAGATGGGTGGACGAGCTCACAGCCCACCTGGTGTTAACTGGTTACTGGAGCCCATAGATATCTACGTAGACGCGCCACCCACCTTGAGATGCAAGTTCTAAAGTCTCAGTATAGTTACAACGGCTACGACACCCTTACTGCCCATTAATATTATAAAGTGAATGGCAGGTTGGCAATCGAACCCTTTAAAATACGAATACTTAGGTATATATGTATATATGCAAACGCTTTCTACATTGGTTAGTAAGTAAGATTAATTTCTCAAGGTAGAAAGCAAAACTTTCTATCTGTGGGCTATTTCAAAATAAATAGGCCATTAAATCGTCTGCCTATGTAATGAAATAAGCCCGCTTACCAGCTTTACAAATTTTGTAAAAGACTTGTTCTAAATTTCGCAAATGAATATGCAAAAAGACAAGAGTTCGTTATTTAATTCGAATTTTTGGTTAGTAAGTAAGATTAATTTCTCAAGGTAGAAAGCAAAGTTTTCTATCTGTGAGCTGTCTCAATATAAATAGGCCATTAAATCGTCTGCCTATGTAATGAAATAAGCCCGCTTACCAGCTTTACAATATTTTGTAAAAAAATTGTTCTGAATTTCGCAAATGAATATGCAAAAAGACAAGAGTTCGTATTCGCTAATTGACGCATGACATAAATCGAAATATAACTGGAGAAAAGTTTGACGTGACAACTCCCAA